TTTCAATAAGCAATCCTGAAAAAAACACGGGGGTGCTTAACTTTTTTCCAGGTGTATAGAAAAGCCTAAAAATTGACAGTGGGTGTTTTTGATGACCTGCTTTCCCTCTAGGCTAACAGTTTAGGGACAATTAGTTTATATATCCCTTGTATAACTTTGTGTGTTATAAATGAAACCTGACCAGGATTAATTTATCAAACCTTTCAGTTTTCTAATTACTTTCTCTTCCAGAGATTCTATAGCTGTAGATGTAACAGTGTTATGTGTACCAGAAAATATTATGTGGGAATTGATAAAATAAAATTGTCAGAGAGCATAGGTACAGTGTATTTTGTTACATGTTGTGTTCTTTAGTCCTGTAGCTGAAATATTGTTTTTATCAAGAGGAGACTGCATTTTGATATTTTTAAAAATACTGTTCTAAATGTATGCCAGTTACTTGTATGTATGCAAAGTTTCATAAATGAAATACACACACACACACTAACAATAAGAGGTACTAAGTCTTGAAGTCAATCTTCTGTCACCACAATTTTAAAATCAGAAAGGTTGTTAACAAAATACTAATTTCCCTGTTCTGCCTGTGAAATATGCTGTGCATTACTGCATGCTGTGTAAGGATTTTGACAGTAGTGTCCTTCAGTGTTTGTTCATGTCATATCTAGAGGTTACAGCTCCACCTATGTTGTAATGAGAATGACTAGTTACGTGTGTATTACTAATTGCCAGCTAAGGAACGTTACATTTAGTCAGTGTAGTCCTGAAGAGTTAACCAAGTATATTCAAGCAAGTATACATATCATGCTTGTGTTTTGTGTCTCAATATTGCCAGCTAAGGAACATTACATTTAGTCAGTGAAGTCCTGAAGAGTTAACCAAGTATATTCAAGCAAGTATACATATCATACTTGTGTTTTGTGTTTCAATAAAGATTCTGCATTTTATATTTCAGTTTGTGTCCCTGTCTCAGTACTTCATTTTACACTGACTCAGTTAGTAAGAGATTTAGTATTACATCAAAATCAATACCTTGAGAGAATCACTTGTTATTTAGTGAACCTATCTGATGGCTGTAAAGTTAATTCAGTTTCACCTGAATATACCACACCCAAATAAAAGTGATTAAAAATGAAATTCTTCATTATAAGTGTAACATAAAACTTGTTAATTAGACTGCACAACTTAAATCTCATGTTGAGCTAAAACCAGTGTATCCTAGATTCAGGAAGACCTTAAGGAGCAGCATCAGTAACTGAACTTAACCATGAATTGAGGATATTCATCTGTTAACAAAGACAAGATATCTAATAAATGAAAAACAACATATGTCACTACCTACAGTATTAACTACTGTGTGCAGCACAGAAGTAAATATTGGTATAAAGCAAGTTAAAAACACAACTGTGAGTATAATAAGAGGCACTTTTTAATTACAAGAAACCTTCAAATATAAAAAAAGTTAAACTAAGCAGATCTATAATTTATATCACTTCATTGTCTTATAAATTCCTTTACTACATACAGTTTTAAAAACTATTTACCAATTCTGTGATTGTTCACCAGGTAGTAATGGGCTCCAAGTGGTGGTTTCCATACGAGTGTCCCAGTCAAAAGTCTGTAAAACCATAATTTATAAATAGGGAAACCAGTACTAAAATATTTCACTTAAAGTCTAAGTATTAGTAGCAAATCTTATACTTTTCCATTTGTTGACGTAATTTATAATGCTACTCTTAGGCCTACATTAATAAGGTGTATCAGTTGAGAGGTTGAGTATATTATACTGAAATGATTTTTGGAGTCTGACCACATCATTATAGTCCATATTACTATGTACAGTCATACTCTATTGGACAACGATACATCTTGACAATGGCCTTGTAGTGTAGTTTCCATTTCAAACAGTCCATTGTAAGGCTGTCATGTCAAAAGCATACCACTCCTTCCTGAAGGTTTTCAATAATTCATCTAGTATATAAGGACAATGGTTTTTCAACACTGCATCCAGTAACTTGACCAGTGTATTCATATGGAATAGCATGAATACCCATTTTGTTCTCCAGCTGCTTGATGTATTCAATCTTTGAACAAGAGATATGACTGTACACCCTATTTTGGTGAACCAATACCCTTCTGGCATCCTTTCCAAGTGAAAATCTTTTTTTGATTATGTTGCTTTCAGTTGCCTGGGACATGTGGACAGCTTTAGCCACTGACCTTTTTTGTTTATGGATCCTCAACTGCCATAAAATGTTGAACTATGCTTACCACTACTGGAGTAAAACTTATTGCAGGTCTCTTTCTAAAAGATCCTGGTGCCCGAGGTTAATCTATACTCTTTGGCTTCCAATGCCATTACGTAAAAAGAATATCTTCATGTAAGCTCTAAATCTCTGATTTTTGTGATCTGAGAGTATTAATATTTTGCATTAGAAAGGGCTGTTACATACTCTTCCCAAAAGCAATCAATTTTAAGTGGCAGATGCCAAACAAAATTAAAATGTAGTTCTGATACATTCTGTTCCACCATGAAATTATATCTGATGTGGTTTTCACATCAATTTCTGACTTGCATATTCAAAACCATTTTAATATAATGTACACAACCCCCTCTACACTTAGTGTAGAATATTCTCTCACTGACTGTAAGCACTATTACCTCTAACTTAGAATTTTCCATTTAGGGAGGTAAATGAACATACATCTCTATTTATCATGAGATAAAATGAATTGAAACATCTCAGTTAGAACCAATATTTAAAGAATTGGATGTTGTTGTGGTATGCATGCATACAATGAATTTTTACCTTCTCATTTTAACAAAATTTTCCAAAAAGGTTTGTTTTTTCTATGTCTATGCAATTTTGCTTAACACATTGGCTCCTTTATCATTCTATAAGGATAATATGTGTTTTGAATGGATATGACAAGAATTATCTGTTGTGAACTGGGCAACTGAATTAATTAAGAAGTTTAAAGTTACTGCTATGATGGAAGACTTAGAGGATTATAAAAGAACAAGAGAGTTGGTAAAAGAGAAAATTAAAAAGGGTAATATATATATATATATATAAAGGTTGGCTGAAAATTTAAAAATTAATAGTAAGACTTATTCTAAATACATCAAGGACAAGCCAAATGTTAGGATTGGTGTAGAGCCTTTGAGAGATAATATAGAAAGGTTCATACCCAATAATTATGAAATGGCTAGGTTATTAAATTCTATTTTTCTTCAATTTTTTACAAATGAATAATACATAATACATGCTGTTATGGGTAAATCTAATGTTTCCCATTAAGTAAAAAACATTAGAATTAAACATTCATGTAGCATGTCTTGAGTTAAATGGTTAGTAGGAATACATCTTAATTTATTAATAAAGATTGTGTTCTTTATCACTTCATAATTTATCCTCCTGATCCTCCTGTTATATAGCAAATCTACCTAATACTCTAGGAGGAAATCAGTTTCTCCTGAAAATACCACATCATCATCCCTAACTACTAATATATTCATTTGAGAATAATGTATATTATAGTTATATTTTGAAGTTTAAGTTAAAGCATTATGATGCTATTACAATAAGAATAAAGATATTTTAATAATTAATTCACCCTTTACAGTCACTAAACCTTTACAGTTTGTGTATGTATAACAGCTGTACATATTACAAAATATTTTATGCTTCACCTCTTGGCTTTCCTTCATAATAACACAGCTTATAGTTAAGAGTTTCCTGGTCCAATTCATTGGTACTTCGGACATGAAGGTCGCATTTATCTTCTTTCTTGCTTGTGGGAGAAGATATCCCTCTTGGGGCCAGAATGTCAACTCTGGGTTAGCCAGTGGACACACAAACTTCACAGGGTTGGATGAAAATTGATTGGTAAGCACAATTACTTGGTTGTAGGTCTTGTTCACATAACAGTTACTGAACACAAGATGATTTGCTGGAGTTACTAGGGACATAAAAAGATAGCATTATAGGTCTTTGTCACATAACAATTACTAAACACAAGGTGATTTGCTGGAGTTACTAGGGACATAAAAGATAGCATTATAGGTCTTTGTAGCATAACAGTTACTAAACACAAGGTGATTTGCTGGAGTTACTAGGGACATAAAAGACAACATTATAGGTCTTTGTAACATAACAATTACTAAACACAAGGTGATTTGCTGGAGTTACTAGGGACATAAAAAGATAGCATTATAGGTCTTTGTGACATAACAGTTACTAAACACAAGGTGATTTGCTGGAGTTACTAGGGACATAAAAGATAGCATTATAGGTCTTTGTAACATAACAATTACTAAACACAAGGTGATTTGCTGGAGTTACTAGAGACATAAAAAGATAGCATTATAGGTCTTTGTAACATAACAGTTACTGAACACCAGGTGATTTACTGGATTTACTAGGGACATAAAAATATAGCATTATAGGTCTTTGTCACATAACAGTTACTAAACACAAGGTGATTTGCTGGAGTTACTAGGGACATAAAAATATAGCATTATAGGTCTTTGTCACATAACAGTTACTAAACACAAGGTGATTTGCTGGAGTTACTAGGGACATAAAAGGATAGCATTATAGGTCTTTGTAACATAACAGTTACTAAACACAAGGTGATTTGCTGGAGTTACTAGGGACATAAAAAGATAGCATTATAGGTCTTTGTAACATAACAGTTACTAAACACAAGGTGATTTGCTGGAGTTACTAGGGACATAAAAATATAGCATTATAGGTCTTTGTCACATAACAATTACTAAACACAAGGTGATTTGCTGGAGTTACTAGGGACATAAAAGATAGCACTATATGTCTTTGTAACATAACAATTACTAAACACAAGGTGATTTGCTGGAGTTACTAGGGACATAAAAAGATAGCATTTTAGGTCTTTGTAACATAACAGTTACTGAACACCAGGTGATTTGCTGGAGTTACTAGGGACATAAAAATATAGCATTATAGGTCTTTGTCACATAACAGTTACTAAACACAAGGTGATTTGCTGGAGTTACAAGAAACAGAACAAGATATTTAATCACTTCTAAGATTACTTGATATTACTTACCAGTGGATAGGGAAAATACTGATAAATCTAAGACAGAAAGAAGAAAAGAAAAAATTAACATGCACAAACCCTACTTTTTTGAACAAGATACTGAGAAAAATGTGATCAAAAGAAGATCAGAACAGATATTTGAACATACAAAATATTCCTATTTTTCAGAGGAGTCTTGTTTTTTTTTCTCTTCCTTTATCAGTACTTTTCTTATTTGTTTAGCACAACCCAAAATGTTTTTTGACATAATTTCTCATTTTGTTGGTTGGTTGTTTGGCAGTTTTTGGTGCAAAGCAACTAGGCTATCTGTGGCAAATAACCGGTAAAAAAAACGTAAAAGTAAATTCAGATAAAAGATTTAAGTAGAATTAAAAAACCCAATGGGTCATAAAAATTTAATAATACTATAAAGTTGGACAGTGTCATCATCGCCTGTGACACCATCCAATGTCAGACTAAGCCCTTAGAAAGCACGTGTCTAAAGTGGTGTCGTCGCTCAGAGTCATAATAACAGCACAACAGTAAAATGTGGGCTATTGTGACTTGAGTGTCACAAAGGCCACACATTGGTGAATCATTCCAAGATAAAAGAAAACGATGAGTTAAAAAACAGTGACCAATGCATAGCCGAGTCAGGACAACTTCTTTCTTCTGATCCTTATGGAAACAAGACGCCCAAAGAGCAACAGAAGGTTTGATCTGGAAAAGCTTGTTATGATGTTGCTCACTCCAAGTTGACTGCCAACTGGCGCGAAGCCGAGCCTTCTGTACAAGACTGTAGTCCATATACAGGATAGGCACAGCTGTGATGACACCAGAGCAGATGGACGTAACTGTGGTGTCAGCAAGATCGTTCCCACGAATACCAACATGGCCCAGCCATTGTTGAATGTCAATGAGAAGAGGGTGAGAACTAACATGGCAGTAAACACTGTAGAAACTGTAAAGGGGATTCTGCAAGCAACTACCAAGCCACAGTAAACCATGGGAGAGCCTACAGAGTCACCTGATTTTGAACCATCTGTGTAAATGGGAATAGAAGGATTGTTTGAAAGATGTTCAGTAAATGGAAGACAATACTTCCAATCGAAAGTATCTGCCTTCCTCAGATCACTCAAGGAAAGGTCATATCTGGGGATGGTAATGAGCCATGGTGGAATGGGCTGATCATTGGGGACAGCAACGTCATCCAATGCCAGACCCAATTCATCTAGTTGTGCCTGGATACGAAGGCCAAAACGACAAATTGCAGATCATCTATTCTGAAAAAGCATGGCCCACTGAGGAAGAAAGACACAACTCTAGGTGAAATGCTGTGGTAAGGATATAAGCTTGGTAGCATACTGTAGAGAGAGTTGCAAATGGCATAGGTGAAGAGGAGGTTCATGGGACTTGGTGTACAAACTCTGGAATGGAGAATTGCACAAAGCCCTGGGGAGAGCTGAAGCCCCAGATGGTGAATGAGGTCCAGCATCTTCAAGGCCAAGATCATGGAAGAACCACAGTCCATAGTTCATTTCGGATCGAATGAGAGCACAATAGATCTTGAGCATAGAACACTGATCTGCTCCCCAAAAGGTGGAAGAGAGCACATGGAGGATGTTGTGTTCTTGTACACTTGACACATAGCTGCTTTATGTGAGAATGAAAGTAAGCTTACAGTCAAAGATAAGCCCCAAGAATTTTGCCTCAGGAATCACAGGAAGAACAACATCACTGAGACAGAGCTGGGGATCATGGTGTAGGCCTCCCTGGTGGCAAAAATGCATGCAAACAGTTTTGGAAAAAGAAAACGTAAAACTGTTTGCTGTGGTCCATTTCAACAAGTGATTGAAGGCAGTCTGAAATTGCCACTCAATAAACCTCATGTTCAACGACTGACACGAGATGTGGAAGTTATCGACATAGAGCCCATTTGCAACAGCAGGAGGAAGTTGTGTAGTGATAGCATTAACCTTGATACTGAAAAGTGCAACAATCAAGATACAGCCCTGAGGGACTCCAAGTTCCTGTGTAAAAGAACGGGAAAGAGTCAAACCCATACAGATTTGGAATCGCCAAATAGTTCTCAATAAAAATGGGTAAGTGGCTGCACAACCCATATGAGTGGAGGTCCCACAAAATGTCTTACCTCCACATTGTGTTGTAAGCCTTCTCAGGGTCAAAGAACATGGAGACATAATGTTCTCTCTTAAGGAAGGCTTCCCTGATTGAAGTTTCAAGTTGAATCAGGTAGTCCATGGTGGAGCGCTATCGATGGAACCCACACTGGGTGAGTGAGAGGAGGTTGTTTGATTCGAGGGAACTAAACATGATGAGCATTAACCATCCTTTCTAAGACCTTATAGAGACAGCTAGTCAAAGCAATTGGATGCTAATTAGAAGGAATCTTGGGATCCTTCCCAGGCTTAGAGAAAGGGAGGACAATAGCCTGGCACCAAGCATCAGGAAAAACGTTCTCCTGTCAGATCCGGTTAAAAACAATCAGAAGAATAGCAAAAGAGACATGAGAGAGATGGTGCAGCATCTCATAGAGAACATTATCAGGTCTGACTGATGTATTGCCAGACCAATGAAGAGCAAGTTTGAGTTCCACCAGTGTAAGGGGGAATTATTGTCATAGAGACAATTGGCCCAAAAGGAAAGAGGCAATCATTCTGCCCCAGACTTGATGGCCAAGAAGGCAAGGAAAGAAACAGAAGTGCTGGATGCACGAGAAAACCTTCACAGAGCGTATTGGCGATGTTCTGTACATCAACAACTTCCTGGCCATTGGAGAGCAAGATGGAAAGGGGATGGGAAGAATACCTCCCAAATCTTCTGGTGGTAGAAAGATGCTAGTAGTGAACTTAATCTAAGATTCCTTTGATGTGTAACTTGCTGAGCATTGACACAGGCCTGCTGGAAAGCAATGCAGTTGGAATGAGTGGTATTTCTGCAAAAAGTATCTTAGGCCCATTTCTGAGCCTTCCATGCCTGCTGGCAGGCTGGAGACCACCATGGACAAGGACACCACGGGAAACGTGTCGAGGTTTTAGGTATAGAATAAACAGCTGCTTGAATGAAGCAATCAGTTAATTCTTCCATGCAGTCGTTAATAGATGGAAGACTAACAATAGCAGGATCAAGTTCTGAGAGAGAGGTGAAAGAGAGCCAGTCGGCCTGGTCCAATTTCCACTGTGGCACTCAGGTTGGGTGGTATTGACCATGGCCAATCTCCCTCACAACGATTGGAAAATGATCACTGCCCCTTGGGACACTGTCAACCCAGGGCCAAAGGAGATGGGAGTCACTGGAAGGAATGGTGGGACAGATATAGAAGTGTTATCCATTGAGAGCAAAATACTCTTCACGTGATGCAAAAAATACTTGAATGGAGGCATGGAAAGGTCCGTCTGCACTCCCACTGTAGCAGTAGTGTGGAGTGTAGAGGCATATGTCCAAGATGGAGTAGGGGACAATAACTTCCAAGCCTTTAGGTAAGAAACGTTTTTAATAGTTTTTAAACACTGTACCTCTTTATCCTCCACCCATTTAGGGCAAGAAAAATAGTAAGATGGGTGGGAACCACTAAAATTAACGCAGTGAGGGTCCAATTGACATTTGTAGGCAACATGGTCTCAAACATTAAATATGTTACAAGAGACTTTGATAATTCCTAAACTATTATTAGAAACAAAAGCATTAAGAGAACATGTAACTTCCATGTTTTAATTATCTCTAAAGACATCTATGTAATATTAAACTATAATCTTCAAAATTATTTACCATTTATTTCACAGCATTTTGAGCAGATGTGAAATAAAAATATCTGCTAAATTACATAGAAATTAGTTACTATTGTTGGAGATTCACACTTGTAACAAAACCTTCATCACATATACCATACAAAAGTTGTTTTTGTATTTTCTACATGAATATTTAGTCATTCAATACTAGTAATGATACATATAACTCACCATTTACATCTGTTACAAGACCTTCATCAACATTATTGATCTTAGGAATAATTGGCACTTCAACAGAAACCATTCCAGTGTAACCTTTACCAAGTAGTCGAACTTTTTGCTGTTCAAAAGGATTATTCATTACATTCAATTCCAAACTGCTTTCAAAGTGTTTGTCATACAAGGCGGTGAAAATAACATGAAATATAAATACTTCTCCTGATAACAGAGTCAGCTGCCACAAGTTATCAGATCCTGCAGAAGATGAAACACACTAAAAATAAATCTCACTTCAAGCACACTATTTTCAATCTATTTCTTCAAACAGTGAAGTGTTTTCAGAAGGAATCATTTGAAAAAAATAAAGCTATTTAAATAGTTTAATATGTGTTGGAAGTTAATATCTACTTTAGTGAAAGTTAATGTGATACCTGCTGAGATATCCTTCTTAGTCTCTGATTTCAGCTGGAAAGCTCCTTCAGGATCATCAAATACAATTTTCACCTAAAATTATTAGAAACTGATGACTGTACAAATAAGCATATTCAAATACTCATATTTGTCTCATATGTATCAAAAACTATCAACTACAAAAAAAAATGTACACCTATATTACAAAACTATCAAATACAACCAACAATGTACACCTATATTACAAAACTATCAAATACAATCAACAATGTACACCTATATTACAAAACTATCAAATACAACCAACAATGTAGCATATTCAAATACTCATATTTGTCCCATATGTATCAAAAACTATCAACTACAAAAAAAAAAATGTACACCTATATTACAAAACTATCAAATACAACCAACAATGTACACCTATATTACAAAACTATCAAATACAACCAACAATGTACACCCATATAACAAAACTATCAAATACAATCAACAATGTACACCCATATAACAAAACTATCAAATACAACCAACAATGTACATACAAACATTCTTTTCTTAAATAAAAAATGTATCTTATATTTCTAAATTACAAGATTTCATTAATTACAATAACCTTGTTTATTATCAAATATTATTTTTTTAAATCTAACAACTGTACAACAAGTAGCAGGAATGCTGAAGTGATAGTCCTATCAGAATAGAGTTAGCATTTGAAACAAATAAATAACATACCTGTGCAGGGGGTAGGTCTGTATTTTTTAACACCAAGGGTAGACACTGTGAACAACCAACAATTAATTTATTGAAAAGCATAATAAGTGAGTTTTGTTCATCATACAATCTTGGTTGGAGGAAAATAATCCGAGGAAGAATTCCTTCTCCTACTAATTCAAATACAAGACTGGGACCATGAGGTGTTGAAATGTTTACAGCAGCTTCAAACATGGCATTATGAATCTAAAAGTAAGACAAATATGTATTTTGGTCTGAAATTTAGAGTAGCCAGGTGTAATAGAGTGTCAAACTTGGCATTATGAATCAAAAACTGCAACCCACAGCAGGGGCAAATTAAAGAATGCATTAGGCTTCTCTGTCACAGATTATACTTTCAATTTTAACTTAAGTGAAAATAAAATAAGTTTGTAATATAGTTACTTAACAGCTGATCCACTGTATAATATTGAATAGTAAATTAGGTGCAATGTTATAATATTATTCATATGCCTAAACTGATTTAGGAAGTTAAAAAAGGACTCTAAAATTCATAAAAAGTATTGCAAGATTGTTTAACTATAGAGGATTATCAAAATTAGGAAAAAAATTGTTAGTATATAAATATTACATCTCTAACAAGTATCTATTAATTTTTAATTTGAGAAAAATAATATTTTAAGAGTGAGTTTATACATATCATAGTTAACATTCTGCAAAAAAAACCAGCTAAATTTCAGAAATTTTAATTTAAATGTTTAGCAGTTAATAAAACTAATTTTACTATTTTCTATATTTTGTAGAAAACATATATTTTCCAACTATGTGTATAAATATAATTGGGATGGACATGTCCCAGTGATCAGGGCACCAAGATGAGGACCAAAATTTCTAAGACTTGAAACACAATAAGCCTCCACTGTCCATATTTTCAGCTGTGAGATCATTATAATGGTGAAAGGCAATTCTACTATTCAGTTAAAAGTATCATTATAATGGTGAAAGGCAATTCTACTATTCAGTTAAAAGTATCATTATAATGGTGAAAGGCAATTCTACTATTCAGTTAAAAGTATCATTATAATGGTGAAAGGCAATTCTACTATTCAGTTAAAAGTATCATTATAACGGTGAAAGGCAATTCTACTATTCAGTTAAAAGTATCATTATAATGGTGAAAGGCAATTCTACTATTCAGTTAAAAGTATCATTATAATGGTGAAAGGCAATTCTATTATTCAGTTAAAAGTATCATTATAATAGTGACAGGCAATTCTACTATTCAGTTAAAAGTATCATTATAATGGTGAAAGGCAATTCTACTATTCAGTTGAAAGTATCATTATAATGGTGACAGACAATTCTACTATTCAGTTAAGAGTACCTGCATAAGGAGTGGGTTTTTCTTGTTATCATCCTTGTAAGTTAGGGAAAGTAGGAGAGTCTGGCTTGACATGTAGCACACATGGTGCCATTCAGTTTGAACATGGAACGTATGATCTAAATTGTCTTTGCTATGATATATTCAGAGATGTAACTGTACTGATAATGCAGAATTTTCATTAGAAATTAATATAAAATAATTATACTGGCTTTAATATTTCTTTAATGTGATGGTTTTACTTGTAGTTAGCTAAACTTACCTGATGTCTCAAAGAGCTAGATATTTGTATTTAACATTGTTGTGTTAACATTGTTTGATATTAAGCACAAAGCTACACAATGGGCTGTCTATGCTGAGCCCACCAGGAGTATAGAAACCTGTTTTTTAGCAGTGTGAGCCCCTTGACTTACAGCTAAGCTACTAGGGACATACTTAATTTAAATTTGGTTCATGTTTGATCTAAATGTAATTTGGAAGTGATCCTTTCTTATTAGCCTGAGCTTATCATGACTTATGTGTTGTGATACTGACTGGGTTTGGTATGACTGGATAATGATGGAATGATACAACACTGTCTTTTATCAGAACTTTCATGTGGGTTGAAAACTTCCAACTCATGTTTCTATACGGCTCAGATAGTTTATATGTACAGAAAATGAGTTACCACATTCTTTTAATTGTATTTTTTCACGCCAGTTAAAATGTTTCTTAATTCTTGGTAGCTAAAGTTTTCTGACATTTTTCTAGGATCACTTTTGTTAACTAGTGAAAGTCTAATATGTATAACAGTGTTACTACATCATGCATAATATGTTTTGTTTTAAAACAGAAATAAATTATTCTTCAGTATGTTTATATTAACATTTTCATACAGTTTTCCTGTTGTGACTGAGACTAAGTTCTTGTTGGATATATTATGATATCATGGCCAATTCAATGCAAATCTAAAGGAAAACCAATGTTCAATATGTATCTGTTGGGCAACAGTGTGATGATAATGAAATATTTCTAGCTAGTCATATAAACTGACTCTTAGTATTTACCTGACATGATTTTCTTCCTTGGAAAAAATCAGTTAGATATAAAACAGTCAAAACATTGCTCACCTGAATACTTTTGGGAGAATACTTCAAAGTTAAATATGTATGACCTCCTGGATGGATAGTACAGCAGTCAGGAGTTATTTCAAACACCTCAGAGGGCCTCCCTCCTTGTTTTCCTCCTAACTGCTTTATGCTTATTCCCACTTCTAAAACCACCTACAGCCCAACAGACAATGTCAGACAATTTCAGTATAGCCTAACCCTACAATATGTTATATTGTTTAAAATATCTACTTAAATACCTTATTGTTGAAGCCACAAGGTTGTATAGACATGTCACAATATTAACTACCTACAGAGAATCAGACTAAGATAAAGCAATGATCTATAATTCTAACCCTACAATATGTTATATTGTTTAAAATATCTACTTAAATACCTTATTGTTGAAGCCACAAGGTTGTATACACATGTCACAATATTAACTATCTACAGAGAATCAGACTAAGATAAAGCAATGATCTATAATTCTAACCCTACAATATGTTATATTGTTTAAAATATATACTTAAATACCTTATTGTTCAAGCCACAAGGTTGTATACACATGTCACATTATTAACTATCTACAGAGAATCAGACTAAGATAAAACAATGATCTATAATTCTAACCCTATAATATGTTATATTGTTTAAAATATATACTTAAATACCTTATTGTTGAAGCCACAAGGTTGTATACACATGTCACAATATTAACTATCTACAGAGAATCAGACTAAGATAAAACAATGATCTATAATTCTAACCTTACAGTATATTATGTTTGTCTTTGAAGAGGTGATTCTTTCTCCATCAGGGGCAAAGTGATAAAGAAAGGTCCATTTTTTGAAAGCATTAGTGTTATAGGTTTTTTCACTTTTGTGTGAAATATATTTTTTCAACCTACATGTTTTTTTAACATCATGAATTGTGTCTTTTAAAACATGAACTCATAAACCTTATTGTTGAAGCCACAAGACTGTATTGATAAGCCACATTATTAATTTATACAGAGAGAATCAGACTAATATATAACAATGAACCATTACTCTGACATTACACTATATTATGTCATTTAAAATAACTATTCATATACTTTATGGTTGTAGCCACAAGGCTGCATTGATAGGTCACATTATTAACTGTCATACAGAGAACCAGACTCAAATACAAAAAATGCCCTGTTGCTTTTGTTGTTTCTTATAATTATTTAGTATAATGAACATGATTAATCAAACACAGCAGAGTATGGTTCCCGTGTAAGATTATACAGTCTAGTCCATACAGTAAAATTAATGTGGTTAATTATACATGGCTGAGTATGGTAACCTGTGTAAGATTATCCAGTCTGATTCATACAGTAATATACATATAATTAATTAG